CTCAGGGGGCGGGGCTGTGCGACGCTGGGGGCTGGGACCGTGGGACCCGGCTGCGGCCCCGAATTTTGTGTCCAGTTGTCGAGCGGTGTCGTGGGAGGGGGCCAGATTCTGTGTCTCTTAATGGGTCAGGAACTTGATCTTCTGGCTCCATAGGGGAGGAGAGACTTGGAACCCTAAATTCCAGGAAGCCTGCCCAATGAGATTTTGTGGGTTTTTCTGTGGGACGTGGGGACAAAGGATGCGGATACTCGCCAGAACTGGAAGTCCGGAACACCAGAGTTATTTGTTGGGCAGTGGACTGACCCCAGAATCTGAGCCCATAATCGATGGAACTGGGATAGAACTGGAGCCCCTAGGTCCTTTACAGGAGCAAAGGAGGGGCGCAGAATTCTGTTTACCCAGGACATAAGAGACTGGCAGCCCAGTTCTTGGGTCCCCCAGTGGGGCGTGCTGCAGCCCCGGGTCCCAGAGTTCTTCAGAAGGGAAGACGTTAGGGATCTTGTTTCTGGATTCTCCAACTGGGGCTAGGACCAAGCTTCCTATATTCCTAGGAGAGGCGTGGGATCCCAGAATCGTGTGTACCCCAGTGGCGGGGGGCCTGGGAAGGTCCAGGAGGCCGATACTCCCTGGAGAGCAGGGGATTGGGATCTTTGGGGGGTGAGATGTTGGAGCTAAGTGACTGGAAGAGCAAGAGGAAAGATGTTTCCCTTTGGGCATATTGAGGTCTCCAGAGACGGACTGCAGTTTGGGAATTGCTGGGCACACCTGCCCCAGGTCCGACCTCCGGGCCGAACCAGGGCCCTACCCTTCCCAGCCGCACATTCCTGCGCCACGTGAGTCTCCCCTCCCTCCTCCGCGCTTCGCGCAGGCGCCTTCGCGCGCGAGGGGGCGGGGCCGGGGAACGTGAGGGCGCCGATGGCAGGGGGGCCTGGGAGGGAGGGAGGAGGAGGGAAGCAGGCGTCAGCACGTGACTCGGCCCTGAACCTGTGTCCTTAGCTGGCCCCGGCTGGCTGGTGCTTAAAGGTACAGGCGCCTCCTTTCGAACCAATCTTCTGGAATCTTAGAGCAGCTTCTCCTCTTCTTTTCCCTTACTCTTCCCAGCGAGTAGCTCTTAGACTGTAACTTGAGAGCTTTTCAGTGCAGTAGATCATTTTTCTCTGGACAATCTGGGGTCTAAGCTTAGGTCGTGGATTCGGTAAGTAGGATTCAGGCTAGACTGTGCATCTGAAGTTCTGAGGTTTTAGAAGCAATAGCTCCATCGCTTCTTGGCCTTTTGGCTAAGATTAAGTGTAGAAGCAATAGCCCTGATTCATGTGCTATCTAGGGCAAGTCAGTTATGACTGGGACTCAGTTTCCTTGTTTGTAAAGGTGGATATGGCTCCATGATCTCTAAGTATCTTTATGGCTTAGGGGAACTTTCATTTTTCTTGTTATTTTGGAGACGGAGTCTTGCTCTGTTGTCGAGGCTGGAGTGCGGTGGTGTGATCTCGGCTCACTGCAACCTCCACCTCCCGGGTTCAAGTAATTCTCCAGCCTCAGCCTCCCTAGTAGCTGGGCTTACAGGCACCCGCCACTGCACCTGGCCAATTTTCATACTTTTAGTGAAGATGAGGCTTTGCCATGTTGGCCATGCTGGTCTCAAACTCCTGACCTCAGGTGATTTGCCGCCTCGGCTTCCCAAAGTGCTAGGGTTATCGGCGTGCGAGGGAACCTTCATATTTTATATTAGGGAGATTAGTCCCTGGCCAAATTTATGCTAGATCTCAGAAGGGCTCTCCATGTGGCTATGATACCAGAGCAAGAGGTAGCTTCTGGAAACCCCTTCCCTAAAATACACACTCAGCTGACACGTGCTGTTTCTCCAAGGCCTGACCTCTCGGGACACACCCAGCCCTGTGGACCCAGACACCGTGGAGGTGCTGATGACCTTTGAACCCGACCCAGCTGATCTTGCCCTATCAAGCATTCCTGGCCATGAGACCTTTGACCCTCGAAGACACCGCTTCTCAGAGGAGGAACTTAAGCCCCAGCCAATCATGAAGAAGGCGAGGAAAATCCAGGTGCCAGAGGAGCAGAAGGTGAGCAGAGCTGGATGTGGGACATAGGCTTGGCTGGAGACATGCCCTACAGCCAGAGAGGGGCCTTTTCTCACATTCAGGCCTGGGCTTCTCACTGGGATTAGTGCTCAGCCTCTCCTGGCCTGCAGCCACGGATTAGTTCTCCTTGGCCATGGGGCACAAGGGGGCAGGAGCCTGAGGTTTATGAAGATAGTGTCAGCTGGGCGAGGGGTCTCACTCGTGTAATCCCAGCACTTTGGGGGCTGAGGCAAGAGGGTCGCTTGAGCTCAGGAGTTCAAGACCAGCCTGGGCAACATGGTGAAATCCCATTTCTACAAGCTACTCGGGAGGCTGAGGTGGGAGGATTGCTTGTGCCTGGGAGGTTGAGGCTGCAGTGAGCCAAGATTGCACCACCGCACTCCAGCCTGGACTACAGAGCGAGACCTTGTCTTAAAACAAAAGACAGTGTCACTGTGGGGTGCTGACTCAGCCAGCTCTGCTAGGCCTACTTGTAGAGACTTGGAGCTTCTCCTATTACTTGGATCCAGAACCCTCAGTGGGTCAGGTCTCAGGCTCCACCAGGCACAACTGCGAAGGACAGTCTTCCTTGGCAATGGGATATCAGCCTGTGGCCTGTCTCTCCTTACTCAGCAGGCCTTTGATCTCTGATGTGGGATTTCCTTTGGAGTGATTGCCTTTGGCTAGGATGCAGATTCGGCCAGCCCCTTTAGGACTTGTTTCCTGGGCCTGGGCTTCTCACTGGTGGGAGGCTTCAGGCTTCTGTTAACAGCCAGGGCCACTTTCTGATTT